AAGAACCTGTGCATCCACCCTGAGGTGAGTGCCCACGCCGCTCCTTGCCCTGAGCCCGGGGCCGAGGGCACGCGTCATCCGCCAGGAGTTCTCTCGGGAGGTCAGCAGGGGCCGCACACAGAGTTCTCTCCTCGCTTTTCAAAGTCGACTCACTGCTCACGGCCAAGGCAAGCACACTTCTTCCGGGGAGCCTCCCCTTTTCCCCTAGCCTAGGACACGTTACAGATGCCCTTCCTGGAGTCCAGCAGGCCTGGGTTCCTGGCTCTGAAGCATTAGTTACGTAAATTTAAAAAAATATATATTTGTATTGATTTTAGAGAGGAAGGGGGAGAGAGAGAGAGAGAGAGAGACATCAAGATGAGAATCATTGATCGGCCGCCTCCTGCATGCCCACACTGGGGATTGAGCCCACAACCTGGGCAAATGCCCTGACGGAGAATTGAACCGTGACCTCCTGGTTCATGGGTCGATGTGCAACCACTGAGCCACACCAGCAGGACAGTTGTATAATTTTGCGTAGGTGATTTCTGGAGTCTGGGCCTCAGTTTTCCTTTCTGTTAAATAAATGTAAAGTCCCTGCTTCGTCCAGTTGATAAGATTAGGTGAGATAATGTATGTGTAGTCCTTAGTATGTACAAAGAGCTAGAACAGCCGTGGGCAAACTACGGCCCGTTTGAAATGAATAAAACTAAAAAAAAAAAAAAGACCATACCCTTTTATGTAATGATGTTTACTTTGAATTTATATTAGTTCACACAAACACTCCATCCATGCTTTTGTTCCGGCCCTCCGGTCCAGTTTAAGAACCCATTGTGGCCCTCGAGTCAAAAAGTTTGCCCACCCCTGAGCTAGAAGAATAGGAGAAATTTTTATGATATGAATAGATATATGACACATAGAATATTAGTTTTTATTTAATTATGTTATAAAGGCACAGGGCTCACTGCACCAGAAATTGTTGTAAGCACTTAACGTGTAACTCACGGAGTATGTATTCTGTAAGATTATCTGTAAGAATGTGTCAGAAATAATATAGATGACGGAGGGTAATGAAGTAGCAGCACAGCCTGGGCAGCTGATGAAATGGGAACAGGGGCGGGGGACGGGGGGGGGGCTTTGTGTTGGGGACAGGCAGCCTGCGCTGTGACACTGCCACCCGCAGAGCCTCGGAGGGCACAGAGCCGGGCAAGGGCAAGGCCCTTTGTCAGACTGTGTGGTCAGACCCTCTTCTGATTCTGAGACCTCGCCACGGTCCTGGTTGTTTGCATTTTGAAAGATTGAGCAGTTACCCTTGATCCACACACTAAGGAATCTTCAAGGCTTAGTGGTGTGTGTGTTTGTTTTCGAGGTTTAATTGACATATTCGTTGTGGGTGTTCAACGTAATGATTTGATATTTGTATACACCTCGAAATGATTACTGCCATAAGTCCAGTCACCTTACATAGTTATTTTTTTTGTGTGATGTGAACTTTTAAGATCTATTCTCTTAGCAACTTTCAAATATGCAATAATGTATTCACTATAGTCACATGCTGTACATCCTCAGGACTTGTTTTTTTAACTGGAAGTTTGTACCTTTTGACCACTTTCACCCATTTCACCCATCCCTACCCCACCTCTGGCCACCACCAATCTCCTCTCTATCTATGGGCTTGGTTGTTTCTTTTTTCTTTTTTTAGATTCTCTAGTAAGTGAGGTCATATGTAATTTGTCTTTCTCTGTGTGGCTTATTTCACTTAGTAATGCCCTGCAGGTCCACCCACTTTGTCACAATGTTTCCTCTTTCATGGCTGAATAATAGTCCATTGTATACAGGGCTTAATGTTTTAAAAGTAATAATTTAAGAGTAACACTTTTGCCATTCTTTCACCCCTGCAGTATGTCCCCAGGTGTCTTAACTGTTTATCATTGAAACCAGTTGAGGTTTGAGTTTTCCAAAAATCCCCTCGTTCCACCCCAGAGAGAACGGCTTCCCACCCCCCAGGGTGAGGCGTAGAGCCCCAGGTCCCAGGAGTGGCCGGGCTTTTCAGCCCGTGTCAGTGCTGAGATGCACCCCCGCCCCCGCCCTGCTCCCCAGGTAACACCCCTGCGCTTTGGGAAGGATGTCGATGGAAAATGCCACAGCCTCACAGCCTCCTACGTGCGGGCGCAGTACCAGCGGGACCCCAGCCTGCCCCACTGCCGCTTTTACGAGGTGCCTGCCAGGACAGGGCTAAGGGAGGGCGGGCAGCAGCCCGTGCCAGCCCACCTCTTTGACCACCAGACACCCTCTCGCCCTGCCCCAGGAATTTGATATTCATGGGCGCCAGGTGCCCCTCCCTGCTGGCATCTACAACCTGGATGACCTGAAGGCCGTGGGGCGGCGCCAGGGCTGGTGCCCATACTTCCTTGCCCGGTACTCGGTGAGGAGACTGGCAGGGGGTGGGCAGAGGGCATGTGTGAGGATTGCAGGCTGCCTGCCCATTTGACTGCCTGTGTCTGTCTGTCTGCCTATATCGCCCTGTGGGTCTGTGTCTCTGTCTGTCTCTATCAACTTATTTTTGTGCCTGGCCTGTGTTTGTCTGTCCTCGCCTCGCCTCTGTGGGCCTGTGAGGAAGGGTCGTGGTAGTGTGGGTGGGTGGGAGGTCGCATGGTTCAGGGATTAGGGTGGCAGGCAGGCTTGGTGTAACCCTCCTCCCCTCTCCCCTGCAGATCCTGCACGCCAACGTGGTGGTCTACAGCTACCACTACCTCCTGGACCCCAAGATTGCAGACCTGGTGTCCAAGGAGCTGGCCCGCAAGGCCGTTGTGGTCTTCGACGAGGCCCACAACATTGGTGAGGAGGGCGCCAGGGAGGTGATGCCAGCCCCTCAGGCTGCTACCCAGGCTCTGCCTGCCTGAGCCGGGCCTTCCCCTCCTCTCCAGACAATGTCTGCATCGACTCCATGAGCGTCAACCTCACCCGCCGGACCCTGGACAGATGCCAGGGCAACCTGGAGACCCTGCAGAAGACAGTGCTCAGGTGGGGGTGCGGGCAGCAGTAGGCCCTGTCCCCGCCGGGCCCCTGATG